TTTTTTTTGAACCAAATATAAGATTTTTTAGGATTTACGATAAAGATAAAACAAGAAAGTGCACAAATACATCTAATACGATATTTGATTATTAATTTATAAGCTTCATGTATTCAAATAAGCTCGGTTTGGTAAAATAAATATTTTTAATAAGCTCAAGCTTATCTCATAAACTTTTTTTGTGGCTTTTCAAATAAGTCATTGGAAATGTTTCAGTTAGTTTATCAGCTAATTTTATCAAATGATAGTTTTTCAGCCAAGTCGTAAGTTATCACCTATGAACTAGCTAATCATCTATGTTTACCAAATATAGGAAATTGGCCTCCAAATCTTCACATGTTTTTTATTCTCTTCCAAAATATATTTGTATGTATATTTTATGTAAATTGGCCTCCAATCTTCACGTGTTCGTTTCTCCTCTTCCAAAATATAATAGAATATACCAAGCATTAAATGGGACAAATCCATTTCCTTTATTTTCATTTTATTTTTGTGGTTCTTTGTATTTTGAAAAAAAAAATAAAAATAAAAATAAAGAAAAATCAGAGAAAAACACTTGTCTACCTATACAGTATAATACACCACATGCGAGTATGTTAGATTACTAAAATTACAATATGAGAAATAAATTATCACCTTAATACTTTGTCATTTTGATTAAATTTCTTGTTGACATAATATATACCCACAGTTTTCACTATATCACGCTGTAATTTTCTAATTTATTTGACATAATAATAATAATAATAATAATAATAATAATAATAATAATAATAATAATAATAATAATAATAATAATAATAATAATAATAATCCAATATATCATTATATTTATAATCTTATTGCCCTTGTGACCTCATTTGGTTCATTGCAACATCTATAAAATCAAGAGATTTTACCATCAACCCTGAAAAAAGTATCAAAAGAATCTTCCCACTATAATAAATAATCATTAGTAGGATAATGTTGTCTCAGTCTCACAACTCTCTAATTGAGTAATTCTAAAGGGAAAGAAAAAGGGTTTTCTTAACCACACGTAGTAATGCTACGGTTTCGTTACGAAACCATTCTGCCGGGGTTTGTAATAGATCAACTATCCTCGACGATTGCATGATGATCTAACAGTTACAAACCCTGACGGTAACGAGACCATAGCATTTTCCCCAACATATATGTTAAAAAGAGGAAGATTGGGGCATTTTATTTGAATTAGATGAAGAAGTTAAAAATATAATATTCAGAAAATGATGTTTTTTTTATTCAAATTAGGTAAATATAACCAGTTAAGAATATTTTTACTTCAAAAATGTTGAGGCGACTCAAATCTTAATAAAAATACTCAGTTGAGTAATTTTAGCTGTATTAAACGAGAACACAAAGCAATAATAATTACATCAGCTAAATCATGTACTTAATCAGTTCTTCTAATCTCAGTTCTTGTACTTCTAACATCTGTTTCAATATCTATTTAAACGGTCTACAAATTAATAATTATTGTACAATTATTCATTTATTTAATTGTACAACTTTCAGTACAAAAGTCGGCATTCAAGAGATGGGCCCCAGAATATCCAACATGTTATCTGTCTCATGCACAGCAATGTCCAGTTATCATCTGTCTAATCAATGAAAACCACTGATGTTGACCCAATTCCGCTCGTGTTCATCTAATGGGCCTAGCCCAGTAATTTACATAAGCCCAAATCAAAAGCCCTTCTCTTAATTTACCAAATATGAGAATAAACAGGCATTTTCTACACCTGCACTTGTTTACTACCATGCTGACTTGCCATTGTTCATCAAAACAAAATTCTCAATTTTGACAAGAAACCCTTCAATCTCAACAAAAGAAGTGAAAAAACTGAAAATAGAAGCCCCCAATTTTCTTCTGCAATCTTTTCATATATTCACCATCTGTAACAAGTTACACTTCAATCTCATATACAGAAAAATCCGAACTTCTGTATCGGTACAAGTAGAGTTTCGAATATATCTATTTGTAAAACTATATGGATTGATTGTTGTGTTTTTTCATTTTCCCCCACTCTTCAAAACTGGACTCACAACTCATTTCCACAGTTAACAAAAGCTTACATTGGATACATTCATTTTAATTTCCCAATGCTTTTATACTCATTTTGGTGCAACATATAATCAGAGCCATTTCATTAGTGGGTGGTTTTGGTTTCTAAATCTCACTCGAGTCGACTAAAGATGACGAGGGAGATGATATCGACTTCCCCTTGATATCTGAGGAATCCACCATGTTTGCAGGTTTCTTCTCGTTCGAGGTCTGTAAAATCTGGAGCTGGTTTTGCAGAAGCTAGAGTAAATAAAAACAAAGATGTTCTGTAAGTAAATGAAGAAACAATTCTAGTCATGAAAGTAGTAACCAAATTGTAAGAGAATGTGAGATTAGACGCAGAGAAATTTATGTCCAGTCATGCTAACTCCTGCATAGGCATACCCGATCATGATAGCCGATTTTTTCATCCGACTGGGAGATTAAATAAGCTTAGGCAGTTTAAATTAAAGCAATGCTAGAAATAACCGATATTCCCTAAGCATTATAAGAGACCCGCTTCAATATCAAAAGTAAATAGTAATACACCATTAATGCATAGTAGCGCAGTTTGAGAAATTGAAGGTATAAATCCATTAATCAAATGCATTGGACATGGAAATGGAGAAAAATAAAAGACTAACTAGATTCGCTCCAAAGGAAAATACCTCAATCTGATGCTTAATTATTTTAGTTTGTAAATCCAGTTGAGAATCTGATGCACTTCCTTCCCCAAATTGCCCTTGAACAATAGCTTGATGAGGTAAGAAATGTCCAGGCGACCTGCATGAAGACAATATGTTGTGAAGTCATTATAAACCTAACTTAAAATATAGCCGATTCTGCTTAAAAAATTAAAAAAAAATAAAATAAAATAAAAAATAAAAAACAAATCAAACTATCTTAACTTACTACAAAAGCAGTATTAAAACACCCCTAGACCTCAAAATTTATCAGATGCTATTGTCATATCCAGAGATTCCATATTTAAAGAAAAATGGATCGCAATCATGTCAAACAAATTCCTTTTCATTTCATGATATCATTAAGAAACAATAAGCTAATAAGGTAAAAAACCTAGGACAATATTTATTATTAAAAAAGTATGGAAAAGGTGCCTACCACATTAGAGCATTTGGAGAAGGATAAACAAAAGACTTCCCATATAATGCGGCGGCTGAGGCAGCGGCTTTGAGCCGAGCCTCATGCTGGCTGACATTATTGTTTGCCACACCATTGACATTTGATCCTACAGAAGACGCATCAGTTGAGCTAGTTCCTGTCATAACTAGCAACATTAGCTGAATGAATTTTGCAACAATGACGTTAAGGATACTCATCTTTTAAACACCCTTGGAAATTTGATTACATCCTTCATATTAATCCAACTACCGGGTGATCTGTAGGAGCTTGCTAATGTCACCAAATATTTATAATAGCACCACATGACTTTTGTAAGTGTTAAGCTAACCCAATTTTTTTTGCTTACTTTTAATATTTTGAAAAACTAGAGGGATGTAATTGTAAGATGTAAGTCAAATTTGTTGGTTACTTTTAATATTTTGAAAAACTAGAGGGATGTAATTGAAAGATGTAAGCCAATAGGTTGGACGGTCTGTAATACTAAGAAACACTCATGGATGTAACCTTAAACCTTTTTTGTCTGGCCATAATTTCGGCCAGTGAAGACTGTAAGAGGATCTGAGGATGTATGATAAAATAAGGGTGATGAAGGAAGAAAATGAAAAATTGAAGGCGAGTCTGCCCAAGCGCGAACGCCAATCAGGATGTCTCCTGCATAAGCCAAAGGCTCATTTATTCTTTCTTTCGATTCCTAGGAGACCTAACCCTTTTACTTAAATAAAAAAAAAAACAAATTAAGGTTCCGAAGCAAAGCCTGGCCCATCACCTTATTCTAGCCCTAAATAACTTAACTGAAATGTGTTGATTTGAGATATAGATATGAAAACAATGTACGCAACTAAAAAATGAAAGTTTAAGACGTAGATAACAATGTAACCTAATGATCGTATTCATAATTTTCAAAATTAGTTGAATCATCTAGTAAATCAGGCAACACCTTATGGGTAGCAGCTATTGTACTTATACCAAAAACTTACAAACTCTCCCTTGATATTGGTAAATCATAGAATTATTACCTTAAAGAGAATAACATTTACGATTTAAAATTCATTTCACATCATACATACCTTGTTGATGACTATTACTCCTTGCAGGAGTAGTTTGAGAAGTCCCATTCTCAGGCGGTATAACAAGTGCCCTGCATGTGGGACACGTGTTTTGCCTCTCTAACCAAGACCTCAGGCAATGCACGTGGAAAAGGTGCCCACAAATTAGTTTCTTGGCAACAGTCATCTCCTCACGACATATAATGCATGTAGCATCAGTTCTGCACAGTGATAGGTGGCAATATGAAACGTGAATATTGAAATATATACAAGTTTAATGTTCAGAGTCGAATCTAGCTTACGCATTGAGCTCTTCAGGACTAGCATCAAGAAATCGGTCGTTCATGTTTGATGCGATCTTGCGGTAACGTATATAATCAGCCACGCGGATCTTAAAATTTCGGAATGTCTCGTATAGCTCCCTGATCAAGTGAAGAGGCACACCATAGTTCCTAGAACCAAATAAATAAAAAAAATAAAACTAATGCAATGAAAGTGCAAGATATATATATTAAACTAAGAAAATATGTTAGAACAAAATCTTTAGGGAACATGCACACAAGCAATCCTTCCAAGAAGCTCATCTGCAGGTACATTGATAAACAAAGAAATAAATGTAAGCTAAAAGGTTGCTTACAAGAAAATGACGAGGAAAAAACACATGCACAATGCCAAGTGGATCAAGTCACGGATCAGCTCAAGGTAAAACGTGTAAACAGCCTTCTTTTCCCACTGTCCTTCCATGAGCATGTCACTAACATGGAATATATATTTCACAAAGGTTGACACAGTTGTAATGGCCAGTATAATATACCTGAAAGAAAAACATTTGTTTTTTTCTTTTTAATGAAATTAGTACGCCAAACCATACAATTCAAACACATAAAATTCAACACATATTAGTGTATAATATATTTACTCAATGAAACTTACTCAAATGAAAAGAAAAGTGCAACCGAAGCCTGTCTTGTTTCTATCAAATACTTGATAGAATCATAGAGAAAAATACTGTCTATAAGAAGTAGGAATCCCATAAAAGATGTGATGCGGATATGAGAGAGCTTAGGGACAGTTGGTGTTGTCTCAATATATTCGACCCTCTTTTGGGCCAACCAATGCAAGGACTTAATCAGAAGTAAAGCAGTGACCATGGCAAGAAATGTAACCGAAAATTCTTGTCTGAAAATAGTGATGGCAAAAAGTATCTCCGTAACCTCCCGCCATGACTGCTCATTCAGCCTCTCAACTTCTGCTTCTCTGAGTGTGCCAAGAAAAAGCTTCTTAGTCAGTTTCCAAATGATGCACATGCCAACAAGGCCCATATTCAAAAGAAGCAGCAAACTGATCTTTGAAGTTGACAAGAAAACCATTGCAGGGTAAAACTGGCCTCTGCTTCTAAAGCCATGATAAACAATGGATAATGCAGCCATAACACTGATCCCGGCATATGTTTGAAGCTTCACCATGTCAGCTGTTCCCTATGGTTGAACAGTTGATAAATTAACTTCGAGCCAAAAATGTAACAGACAGAAAAATGGTCTTCTGCAATTGTTTAAGTCCCCTAACTCATTTTCAATTCTTAACCCTAAGTTTTAAGTCCCTCCATTGAGAAGTAAATTACAAGGTACCAATAAGATGCAGTATCTTGAAAGTTCATTTACTGCTACACTACATGTTCCATCAAACTCATTCTATATGTGGACTACAGAGGCCTTTATTTAGGACATAAACACTTCCCTTCCATAGGCACAGTCAAAAAAAATATACTATTGCTTATCACTTCTAACATAACGCGTGAACTTTTGTTAAAACATCGGCAAGCAATCAAAGAAACAGCAAAGAAGTAAGGTGGTAACATCAACTCAAATGGGCACCAAAAGAGATATTGCCGATTAGTATCAAATTTTACATGATGATTATATGCATATGTACGACATCTACCACATTGGCACGTTCGGCCATTTACCCAATATGTCCCACAAAATGCGCACACCAATTTCAATTTAACTTGTTTCTGAACACAATCAAAGATGTCCAAACATGTATCATTACATGATTACAATGTCCATTAACCGCACGCCACAGTTTTCAGCACGAGGTAACATCGATTTCAAATGAAATTGTACAGAATTTTTATCAAAACATACAATCATGTATCTTCAAAACCAACCCATATAAAGAAATTATCCAACCTATGAAACATAAAGCCCATTCACGAAAAATCTATCAATTAGCTAAGCCATAAAAACCGACAAGTGAGATGAAAACCTAAGATCACTTCATAATCGCATGAAAATTCCGATAATGTAAGAGCCATCATGATTTCATACCAATAAAAAAAAAAAAAATCAAGCAAATTTATGAATCGATTTATCTTAAACTGGTGCCATCCCCAAATGTGAGGATGAGTGCGTAAAATCTAGAGAAAAATAAGCAAAAAATTCAAAAAATAGCACTTACAGTTTGGAGCTGCGAGAAATCCCCAGGAATTTGGTCGATGGGAGAAGTTTAATTCGTCCTTTTGAAGTAACAGAAAAAAAGAAAACGAATTGGAAAACAAATTTACAGGCGGCGGTTGGGAGAGGGAGGTGAGGTGTAGGAGCGCACGTGGCAGTATTTTAGTGGCTGGATTACATGCCAGCTGAGTACTACATTACTCGCCTGTTTTTAAATAGTAGAAAGATGAGATGGTGACTAGAGATGTTAAACGGTCATTGGCTCGACGGGTCACCCGTTTAGCCTGAAAAAAAAAAAAAAACAAGGTTAGGGTCTTTTTTTAGTAGTCCGTTTAAATCAAAACTTTTTAGGCCCGAGTTGTTTAAACCGAAGTTCGATAGGGCTACTCCGAAGCCCGCCACGGCTAGACCGTTTAATTTGTATATTACAACTTCACTACTCTATTTTATATGTAACTATGAGTTGTAGCGGGTTATTATGATTTTGAAAGATAATTATTAACTATTTCGTTATTCTACTTCACACCAAATTATTTAAGCCAAATAGAACGACTAATAGAAAATACATGAGACAAAGACCTCTCACATAGAACATAGTGATAGAATATAAATTCAACAGTAAGATACAATATCGTGAAAATTTTCAAAGCGTACAAAAATAAATAGTAAAATGGTAATTATAAATAATAGTTCGATTTTTTTTTTTCTTTTGAGAAAAACATGTCACTTAAGAGTTTGTAATGAGTGTTTATACATGAAATGTAGTTGTATATATATAGAGCGGTAAATATTAAATAGCATTGAAAACAATCGTGAACTAGCCGTTGTAATTTTTATTTATATGTTTTTTATATATTATTATTATTATTATTATTATTA